CAGCTTCACGCACAGAGCGACTACCACTACGGCCACCCCGACTGCTCAAACCGGCGTACCACTCACGAGCCTGCTGGAGCAGAAGAGGGCACGGCTGCTGCACCTGTCCACTACCAGAGGCTCCCGAACGACGGACGCCAGAGCGACTACCACTACGGCCACCCCGACTGCTCAAACCGGCGTACCACTCACGAGCCTGCTGGAGCAGAAGAGGGCACGGCTGCTGCACCTGTCCACTACCAGGGGCTCCCGAACGACGCACGCCAGAGCGACTACCACGCCGGCCACCCCGACTGCCCAAACCGGCGTACCACTCACGAGCCTGCTGGAGCAGAAGAGGGCACGTCTGCTGCACCGGTCTACTACCAGAGGCTCCCGAACGACGCACTCCAGAGCGACTACCACTACGGCCACCCCGACTGCCCAAGCCGGCGTACCACTCACGAGCCTGCTGGAGCTGCATCTGGCCACGTCAGGAGCAGCAGCAGTAGCGGCAGCAGTAACGGTAGCAGTGCTAGCAGGGCAAAGCTCACCAGTGGTTGGTGCGGCGGGCGCAAGACAGTGGCGACAGCGTGGCCGCTGCAACAGCGGGGCGGGGCCAGGTCGTAGCAGGGAGCTCCGCGGCAGCTGCTGCAGGGTCGGCGGCGGCCGCTGCTGTAGGCTCGGCGGCGGCAGCTGCTGCAGGTCGAGCGGCGGCTGCTGCTGCAAGCTCGGCGGCGGCAGCTGCTGCAGGTCGAGCGGCGGCTGCTGCTGCAGGCTCGGCGGCGGCAGCTGCTGCAGGTCGGCGGCGGCTGCTGCTGCAGACGAAGTCGAAGCCGCGAAGGGGCGGCTGAGGGATCGCGACGGGCGGCTAAGGGGCTGCGACGCGTGGGTAAGGAGCCGCGACAGCGGCTGAGAGGGCCGCGACGGGCGGGTAGGGAGGTGACGACGCCACGGGGAGGGTCTGCAGCGGCGGGCAGCTCGCGGGCAGTGCGCGGGGCCGCACAAGGCCGCGACGGGTCGCGTGACAAACCCTAAGCCGCGCGCGGGCGGCTAGCGGGTCACGCGCGCGAAGAATCGGCCGCGCGCGGGCGGCTAGCGAGGCGCGCGCGCGAAAAATCGGCCGCGCACGGGCGGCTAGCGAGTCGCGCGCGTTAAAAACGAGCCGCGCGCGGGTGGCTAGCGGGCTGCGTGCGCGCGGTAGGTAGAGGCGCACGAGGGCGCTAAGGCGCACGAGGGCGCGCGGTAGGTAGAGGCGCACGAGGGCGCTAAGGCGCACGAGGGCGCGCGGTAGGTAGATAGGTAGGTAGGTAGCGGTGGGCCCTAGGAGCGGTCCTAGCAAAGGACCTGCTCTGATACCATGTCAGAATGAACAGGCAGGAATGAGTGAACTAGCAGCATGCAGGAGTACAAGTAGTAAACCCTAATTTGGGTTGTACCCCATATGGGCTACCCCACTACAGCCTAGACAGTATGCAGCACATATGTTTGACAATCTCTGCCAAGTTGCTGCCCCTCTTCTTGATGGGTCCCCCAGAGGAAGTGCAACTGTATCATACGTCTTTGTTAGCACACTCGAACGAACACGGTCCGCCTGTGGTAGTGTAAACCAGTCAAAACATCGACACATTTCAAATTATATAGACAAAGGATAGAACAACGGGTGCAAATTGTAAGCGTAATCAAGAACCATTGGAAGTATTTTATAGACAACAGTGTTGGACCCTCACCTTCAGTAATGCTGTCTCATAGGATGACGAGCCACCAATAGCTGATTCTCTTTGGCTAAGCATGTTCCTCAGTTGGACACTACGCAAAATTGCTTCATCTTACTGGCGGAAATTTGATGCACGGAATGGTTGCTTGCATGTGGTGGTGTGTGCATGCTCATACAAGCCCGTGCAGTACTCGTTAGGAGCCCCCCCTCGTCGAATGGAATCTGGAAAATGTGTTAGCAAATGGACTTTCGGCAACTGCCATCCGTCTCCTGTGCGCTTTAAATGTGTGTGTAAGAGCTCAACCAATCTGGAGGAATGGCAGTGGGTTTAGGTACAAAAGATAACGCAGTAAGGATATGGACCATGCACACACATTCTGTACATAACCCCAACCATAAACAAGCATGTTTGATACGTACTCGGCGGTCTCCTTGACGTAAGCCGCCAACTTCGCTTCTGTGAACGTTGATGCGCGAAAATACGTGTCGAACCAATTCACGAAGAAACGCAGCACACACATGTGTGCGTCCGTAATGAGGCCCTCGAGTATTACGACAGATACCTGCATCACGACGGAAGGGTGTTTTGAAATGTGCACAAATAAGGAAACTAAGAGGTGTGGGAGGGTTCAGGATTGCGTGTGACACACACCCAATACCACCAGTACACACACTCTATACAACCAGCAGACACACACACTCTATACAACCAGCAGAGACACCCACTCAATACCACCAGTACACACACTCTATACAACCAGCAGATACACACACTTAATACCAACAGTACACACACTCTATACAATCAGCAGATACACACACTCAATAACATCATCTCACACACTCAATACCACCAGTACACACACTATAAGCAACCAGCAGAGACACACACTTAATACCACCAGTACACACACTCTATACAATCAGCAGATACACACACTCAAAAACATCATCTCACACACTCAATACAACGAGCAGAGACACACACTCAATACCACCAGTACACTCACTCTCTGAACCACCAGCACACATGTTCACTCTAGACAACCAACTTACACATACACTGTCTACTTCCAACACACTCAAACACTCTGGCCATCCCGCACCCACACACACACTCTTTCCCTTCTAGCTTACCCTCATCATTGCAGCATGTTCAGCAGCAGAGGAGTTGGCCCCCAAACTGAAATATCCACCGGGTGGCGGTATTTTCGAGCCGGCAAGTAATATGGCGCGATACATCTCGAAGTGCAGCCTGGTGCGTGTACGAAAACAAAAGATTACCACACACATCGTAAATGCCATAGTTGCTTGGTTTACATCGTCAACAACCGAAACCTCATCTACGTTTCAAGACACAAAAGATGCGCTCGCCTCAGAGCACATTATGCATTCCCTGGTAGGAACCACACCAATTCAGCTTGTGTACCAATACATACTCCGATGTACAGCCAACACACTTTTCTTACACTGCACAAACACCACACACGCCCTCTATAAAGCCATCACACAAACACTCTGTACAACCAGCACGCACACGCGCTCCGCACAAGTAGCACACGCACACTCTGTATAGCCCGCCAACACACATGCACACTCAATACAACCCTCACACTCACACTCAATACAACCGGACACACTCAGTATACCAGCACACACACCCATTCTCACGAAGCGATCAGGGTGGCGACTCTCCCACACACCCTCTTGATTAGCGAGTTCACTTACTGGTTTGCCTTCTTTCCACATTTATTCGCGATGACGATAGCCTCCAGTATGTAGACCCATATGCCAATCAATATGACGTGCAAGATGTCGGGCATAAGGATTCGATAGGGGTTGCCCCATGGTGCCGCACGATCCTCCGCTTTTCCGAAAGTCCATAGAAAGCACTGCACACATTGCAAAAACACAACAAGGGGCGTTTGTGTGGCGTGAGCACTGACCTTACACCAAAATTCCAAAACATGAACCTGTGTTTGTGGCCACCTCACCTTCGTCATGTGAGTCGAGTACTCCTTGGCGAGCTCCTTGTCGTTCGCGTACTTGCGCTGTTGCTCGACCGTGCGATACTTGGCAGCACATGTCGGGTCCACATTGTCCAAGTCTACGTCCTGCACCTCACAGATCGAGCAGGGTTTCTTGGCTCCCGTCTGCTTGGTGCACGACACTCTGCGTGTCTCTGGAAAATCAGCGACGTACGAAAACAGCTTGGGCCATACAGTATACACCTCCCCAAATGGGTCCGTCAATGGAATTGACCTGCACGCATACAGTTCATATCGGTAGACAGCATCAACCATAATGTACCGACGAGCTAAAGCGAGAAGCACAGTACTTCTTACGTCTTGCACGCCTGGTCGAGCGCCTTCAGCACAGCCTCGCAGCATCTCTGGAACAATATGGTTTTCTGTGTCGATGACATGTCCGAATCTGGAAGTGGAAGCAGTGCTATGAGGGCATGTCCATGCTCGCTCCACCGAACGCTGAGGGGAAGATTGCCGAATGAGAGATACAATGGCCAAGCGCGGCAACGCGCGTTTCCGCTGAGGTGAGTCTCATCACTTGAGAGAATTATTGGGCACACGCATTCCTTTGAGCCAAGTCCAACCTGTCCGTAAATCATAGTAGGAAAAAAAAAACCCCGGTAATTGGTGCAAGAAAAAAAGAATCCATGTTGTTAGCAAATCATAGGGCCTTACAGGCCATATGCAGTGTAGGGCTTTCTGTAAACTATATTCGCATATCACCTGTGACTCAATCCAAAAATCTGCCGTTTCTGGGCCAGCATACACCCGTATTTCGTTCTCCATTCTCTTTCGGGATTTGTGAATGAACCCCTTTTTATTTCTTGGATCTGCCCACATGCGTCATAATGCCTGTACGTAAAACAAAACAAGTCCATTACTTTTGCACTTTATTACAACACTGCAGACAACAAGCTAAGCTACGTATAAGTCTCCATACCTCGATGGGATCCAAGTATTTGACTTTGAAAGTCCTGTGCCATCCAGGCACACGTACGATTGCAGTCTTAAACTTTCTCCTCAATGCCAAACTCCTCTTCGGCATACTTATCTACAGCGTGCTGTCCACTCCAACCATCCAACTGCGCACTGTCAAAATCTGGATGTTTCACGAGCCGAAAAAACCTCGCCACGTCGGGTCCGCTCATCCCAGCACCCCTGTTACAGAGGGACACAAACCTAAACGTTTCAAAACGCGTGTCAAACACAGTCTCGTGTTCTTTCTCCTCGTGAGCGAAAAAGGCATCAGCATCGACAAAAACAAACTCTTCGTCCTGTTAGCCCCCACTCTCCTCATCGCTATCCTCTACCACATCCTCCCCTTCCAACGGTGGCAGCAAAGGAGAATCTACTCGAACTAAGGGTACGTGCTCCTCCACAAGAACCCCCCGACCAGTACTAAAAGTCCGAGTGGTGGGCACAAACAGCGCATCGTCTGCCGAGGTGTTGCGGTGCTTCCGCTCGTGGCTGACAAGTGCTCCGTAGGTGCTAAGCCGTTTTGGGCAACCAGGGCACTTGAAAGGGCGGTCACCATCAACATCTGCCAGTTTTGAAAATGGGAATATATAGAGGAAAAAAATGAAGAGTGTTAGGAGATAGCGAGGGGGATTTGATGAAAGGATCATATGCACACACGCCCCGCCACTCCCTACCTCCTCCACTGTGCATTTCCTGTCAATGGCAGGGAGACAAGGGCGCGCTGAGGGCAGAGAGAGTGCAGGGTGAGAAAATCGGGGTTGAGATCTGGAAAAAGGTTGTAGTCCCGAGGCCCACGCGCACCTTTGGTTCTCCCTCCCGCTTCCTCCGTGCACTTCCTGGCAATGGCAGGGAGACACGGACGGCAAGAGGGCAGAGTGAGGGCAGGTTCAGAGCAGGGGGGTGAACTCGGGCATAGAGGAGCAGATCCGAGGGCAGGGTGGGAGAGAGCAGAGGGAAGAGGGGGAGAAGAGGGGAGAGTCGCAGAAGACGGGATAGAGAGAGGAGAGGAGTGAGGGAGAAGAGGGGGGGGGGGAGAGAGCAGCGGAGTGTGAGAGGATGGAGAGACATCGAGCGGAGTAGTTGTAGGAGCAAAGTGGATAAAGGCCATGTGAGACATGCAATACGATTGCAAGTGATTATATGTGTGATCGCTTCCTAGCTCATCTCAAGTACCTGTGCCTGACGAGTCGGGGATTGAGAGGTCGCCATCTAACCCTCCGCTCTCAGCAGGCGGTGCAAACTTAGCCCTGTTGTCCATGTTGAGACAATCCGTTGATGCCGGAACTGTTTGAAACAATGAGGGAACAAAAAAACCAGTAGGGCAATGTGTACAAATGCACAATCCCACCCACACATACAGTCCCACACACACAAACACACAGCTTACACACACACAGTCCCTGCTCACCCACACACAATCCCACCCCCACACACAATCCCACCCCCACACACACACTCACATGCACGCAAACAGACGCTCCCACACAAAATGCTCGAAAATTAGTTGCAGCTGTAGATGATGGATGGAGGAGAGGGGTGCGGGTGGGGAGTAGGGAGAAGGGGGGGGGGGGTTTGGCGGAGGGGTTAGGGTGGGGAATGTGCAAGCGAGTTTGCAAATGACGTATGAAACGGGAGGCGTGTAAGCAGGATGCATGAGTCACAGGAACGATAGCATTACAAGTCAAAGAAAGGGAGTAGTTCAGAAAGGTGCTTGGGATTGAAGGTGCAAATGATGAGAAATAATCATGGCCCTCCATGTGCCCCATGCCCACTCCCAAGACCCCTCTCGACCCCCCAATCCAACTTCCTCTCCTCGCCATTACTCACACTGCGACACACAAGGCAGCACACGGGGGCGATGAGTTTAGGCGAAGCGTGTGCACGTAGGCGTGGTTGAGGTGAGATCCGCGGAATGGAGAGCAGCCTGGCCGAATCCCACACCCACACACAGTTCCACACACATCGACACACACACACGCGCTCACGCGCGCGCACACACACGCACACAAACGCACACACACGCACAAGCATCGCCTGTCCAGCACACTAAGGGTACACACACAATATCCACCCCCACACACACACTCACACGAACACAAACAGACGCACACGCACGCACCCAAAAAATAAGTCGCAGCTGAAGATGATGGAAGGAAGAGAGTGGTGTGGGTTGGGAGTAGGGAGAAGGCGGGGTGGGTTTTGCGGAAGTTTCGGTGTGGAATGCGCAATCGAGTTTGCAAATGACGCACGAACGGAGAGGCGTGAAAGCAGGATGCATGAGTCACTGAAGAACGGTAGCATTTCACGACCGTGATAACGTGAGTAATTCAGGAAGGTGTTTGGGATTGAAGGTGCAAATGAGGAGAAATAATCATGGCCCTCCATGTGCCCCATGCCCACTCCCAAGACCCCTCTCGACCCCCCAATCCAACTTCCTCTCCTCGCCATTACTCACACTGCGACACACAAGGCAGCACACGGGGGCGCTGAGTTTAGGCGAAGCGTGTGCACGTAGGCGTGGTCGAGGTGAGATCCGCGGAATGGAGAGCAGCCTGGCCGAATCCCACACCCACACACAGTTCCACACACATCGACACACACACGCGCTCACGGGCGCGCACACACACGCACAAGAACACACACGCACACACACGCAGAAGCACACACACGCACACCGACGGACAAACACCACGCAGGAAAATCATTTGCAAACCAAGGTGAGGGCAGGGAGAGAGAGGTGTGGTGGGTAGGTGGGGTTGGAGTGGGCGGTGGTGATGGGATGGGAAATGTTAGCGTGACTTTGCACATTAAGTACGGAAGGGGAGGTGTGGAAACAAGAAGCATGACTCACATATGCCCTAGAATCACACAACAACGAGGCATCGGACGGAGGTTAGGAATGGGGGAAACGTGTCATTGAGTGAAGATGATGGGGGGAACAGAGAGATAGGGGAACCGTAGGGGGCGGGGTGAAGGGGCAAACGGTTGGGGGCGGGTGATGGGTGACATGGAGGATAATGGAGAGCACAGTGACAGAGAAGGAATCTGGGATATTCATGGCAATTAGAGAAACTGAGAGAAGAGATGAAGGCACCACGCATCAGCTGCACCCATGCACACTCACTCCCTATGCACCACTCCTCGCCCTCTCCTCTCTCCATGCCCACTCCCAAGTCCCATCTCTTTCCCTCCAAACCACCTTCCTCTCATCCATATTACTCACACTGCGACGTACCTAGCTCCACCGGCCTTTGAGAAGCAGCAGCAGCGGCGGCGCCGGCGGTAGCGTCAACTCGCAAACTCGTGCAGCGATCCTGACCCGCGCCTTGGATCAGCCTTTGTTCTTCGCGGTTGAGACAGGAGCTCCGATGCGGAACGGGGAAACTCGAGCCGTTCACCGAGAGGAAGCACACAGTTCTGCACTGCTGAGGCGATTGTGATAACCACCGACGCAGCAGCGAGATCCGCGTAATGCTTCAATGTGAGACCGAATCCCGAGACGGTACTGCGATGGGACGGTAGACACAGTGAGTGTCAAAACCAGAGTAGAGAAAGTGCAAGGGGCCGAAAAACTGATGCTTGGGGGAATGGGCGGCACATGTTGCAGCACATGACGGAACAGCACTGCAGCGATGTGTGTGCGATAGTCAACGCAACGGCGGGCCTGAGAAACAGTGGTGAAGGGCGGGGAGGTAAACAGATAACCATAAAAACTTGGAGAATGCAGGAGCAAGAGGGGCTCCGCCAGTGTCTGTCGGCGACTGCGAGGTGAAATACATGGATTTGGGTCATTGCACGAATGCTCCCAGGATGTACTCGAGTAACAACAGGGAAATGACGGAATTTTAAGCATAAACAGAACACACGCTTGATGAGTGGTTAAAGTGAACGGCACAGGCATCCCGTCAATGTGTTTGTGCATAGGCATGGCGATAGAACCGGCTAGTGACGTGTCGGACGGCAGGCGAGTGATTTTTGTAGTCGGACGCATGATGGTCGACATCCGTGAGCGACGCGATCGAAAATGAAAGGGTGCGCGCATCCGGAGGAGAGATATTGAGAGAGAGCGCGCTAGATTTCGACAGAGGGCGTGAGAGAGGGTTAGATATTGGGATCCCGCCCGTGAGATATTATCGACAGTGAGAGCGAGAGAGAGAGAGAAACATCGACCGTGAGAGAGCGTCCTCGTGCGTGCGGGATAGATCTTGACCGTGACATTGAGATTTCGACCGTGAGAATGTGAAATCGACCGTGAGAGGGTGAATTCGACCGTAAGAAGGTGAAATCGACCGTGAGAAGGTGAAATCGACCGCGATAAGATGAAATCGACCGTGAGAAGGTGAAATCGACCGTGGGAGGGTTAAATCGACCGTGAGAGGGTGAAATCGACCGTAAGAAGGTGAATTCGACCGTGATAAGATGAGGTCGACCGTGAGAGGGTGAAATCGACCGTAAGAAGGTGAATTCGACCGTGATAAGATGTGGTCGACCGTGAGAATGTAAAATCGACCGTGATAAGATGAAATCGACCGTCCAAAGGTGAAATCGACCGTGAGAATGAGATAGCAACCGCTGAAACTCATTCACTCACAGCGACAAGCCGCCCCTTTGTTCTTGGCTAACGAGTGATGCGGCTGATGGGCTCGCCATTGTTAGAAGGGTAGGATGGCTTACCTCTGTAATGTGGTCCCGTATTGCTATGTCTTAGGATCCGTGAAAGTTTATCGAGCGAGAATGGTAAGAATGTGTTTAGGGCTGGCAATGTTTACTCCACTCTTGATACGATGAAGGTAAGTCACGACTGGATGAGAGTTTTGAGAGGAAAGCATAGAACTTTTCTAGGAAATACATGGGAATTTATTGGAATGCATGCACAGGCTAATGCTCAACCAATGCTGTCCATGTATGAGCATCAAGGTGTCTATACACCATCAGTTATGCTGTCAAGTGCAGCAATTGAATAGTGACGAGTGTGGGAGGTATCATTAGTGCCCCATTGTTGATATGGTCAATGGATTCATGTGCCCCTCATATGTTGGTGGTGACCATCAAGTGGATTGATGAAATTCCGTAGGTGGGCATCATGTGTAGAGTGACCTTGTTTGGATGCAAGCATCAAGACCACAAATGACATGTGAGACTTGAATTGCAATGATCACATGAAGCTCAAGTTGCACACATCCCCATTGTCAATTGGTGTTGGGGTGGATGTTTGTCATGGCATTTTGTGACAACTAGAGCCACCAAGTGAGCTCTTGTTTATGCATGTGAGCACTATGGCTCAGGCAGAATCAAGTAGGTTCTAATGGGACAACTCCAACAAGCCCCTCCCCAAAGGTCCAAGTCACAAGACGCCACCCCTCAAAGGTAGATGCCAAACAAGTCCTCCTCCCTCCCAAATATCATGCTACATGTGTTTTCCATTGTTCTAGGTTCCGTTTTTTTCACCTTTACCCCTTATTACTACCACCAATTTGGAAGAGTCCATGTTATTGTTTGCAAAATCGGCCCACAACCGTAGCCGTGGCCTCAATGGGGCCCACAAAGTTTCACAGTGCACGTGAGCGCCTCGCTCCAATGACTCGGGAGTTGAGTACAACATGGGTTCCCGAAATCGTTCAATCCGCAGCGATTAATGGGGTCAAAAATTGCAACGAAGTTTTTAATGCGATTAAACCCGCCCCCAACCCCCCCCCCCCCGCCACCGGCTGTTTATCGAGGCGATCTAGTCATGCTTAGGTCTCGCTCATTCCTTTGGTCATTGTACTGTTTTGCTTCGATAGTGCAATTCTCGCTCGCTCACTCAATTGCACTCGTAACACTTGGTATCTAGAGCCGACGATCTTCTCTCGGACCGCACCCCCACCTTCGCTTCCCCACCTAGCTCAATTTTGTAGGAACGTAGACGCCTCTCAGCAGACAAGCACCACCGCTCGAAATGCTATCTCGTAAGCACACACGGCCACGACAGAGGCCCTCGCTGTGCTTGCCCGACACCCCCGCCATGGCTGAATTCAGGCTCGCAGCATTGACGCAGAAGCAGCTCGACCGCCTCCTAAGCCAACTCGAGAATTCTGCCCTCGAAGTTGTGACGCTCACAGCGGAACTCGATGACGCTCACCGGCAATCGACGAACGCGAACCGCGTTTACGCAAACTATGGGCACAGCTACACAATGTCCGAGGACGAAGCCAATGCAGCAATCCTGGAGCAGTACACCAGGGGCGAGTTCACATGGGAAGATCGCCACAACAGCGACGACGACGACGATTCCTGCGGAGGAGGAATGGGCGGAACAGGCGGAAGCGGCAGAGGCGCAGCACCACCAGCACCACCTGAACCAGAGAGCGATGACGACGATGTGCAGGAAGTCATGACGCAACGTCGCCACGACAGCACTGTCTCAGAGCTACAGCTGCTCGGGCTCCACACCGCAACCTCGAAGGCGCCACGTGTCATCGAGCCACAAAACCCGCGCCAAGCCCTCACTGGACCACACAGCAAAGAATGGTGCGAGGCGATGGACGCGGAAATTAAGGCGCCGAATCCCGAGACACCTGGGTGTTAGTAGACCGCACAGCAATCAAGGGCGCAAGAGTCCTTTCGGGCAAGTGGGTATTCCGCGTGAAAACTGCAACGGACAGAACAATCGAGCGCTTAAAGGCGCGATGGGTGGTACGCGGCTACGACCAGAGGCACATGATCGATTTCGATCAGACATTTGCTCCGGTCAGCCGCCATACCTCTGTCCGAATCATGCTCGCCATCGCAATTGTGGAGGCACCTGCCTCTCAGACAGATCGACGTCAAGAACGCGTTCCTGTACGCGTTAGTAGACGCCGTGATCTACGTGGAGCAGCCGCATGCATACGGCGTAGGGGACTCGCGCGTGTGCCAACTGCGCTATAGTCCCTTTACGGGATCAAACAGGCACCGAGGCTGTGGCAGCAGTACCTGCACAACATTCTGCTTGAAATCAGGATTAAGCAGACGCCGCACGATCCAGGGATGTACCGCCGCGATTTCCGCGGCGAATACATTCTCCTCACGGTGTACGTCGACGACCTGCTCTACACGGGATCAAGCAACGAGTTACTCGAGCAGTTCAAGAAAAGCCGAAGAGGAATTCATCGCAGCAACCGCTGCAGTTCGCGAAGGCCTCTACTTGCAGGAACTTCTGCAGGAGGCGAAAATTCCAGCTTTGTCGACCTTCCGTCTTCACTGCGACAACCAGAGCGCGATTCGCATCGCGAACAAACCTGGTTTCGTCAACCGCACCAAGCACATTGTTCTGCGGTTTTTCTTCGTGAAAGATGAAGTGGCGAGGGCAAGGTTGACTTGACCTATTGCCCGACCGGTGACATGGCAGCAGACTTTCTCACGAAGCGACTGCCACGTCAGCAGTATCAGCACTGCTCCGAACTCAGCGGCGTGGTCAAGCAGGTCAAGTCGAGCTACGGGCAGGAGGGAAGGGGGGTGTTACGAATAGTAATGTTTGAGAATATTACCGTGCATTCCCGACCGCAGCTAAAGTAGCACACCGTATCGAGAACGAATGTGAAGAGTCAGAATTGACTCGAAGCGTCAGACGGTTAGGGTGCATCTGGGCCGTTGGAGCAGACGGCATCAGGCAGCTGCAGGCAGTAGGGCTTTGGCGGGAACAGTTTCTAAACTGTACGCGCCGCACGGTTGGGAATGAATTTGTATAAGGTAATGTACCCCTTAGAGTACATGTCTAGTTAGGTCGATTCATATTCCCCTGCACTCTCATTTATATCGTTGTATGTGCATGTTTTAATTCATCTCAAGCATTTTACATTCACTCTGCTATTGAGGTCAAGGGCCCACCTAGTCTATCTACCTGCGTGCGAACCTTCCCGATAAGATCCTGGCAGCGATCATCTCTTGATCGTAGCAGAAACTCTTCCTAATTTCTTCCGTGAATGTGCAAGCACTAAGGAACTAAGCAAAGCTACGATCACTCCTAGTAGTTCGTGCCAACACCCGTAGTCTAGCTCACTACCGTTGTAGAGTGACTCTCCGCAGATAAACTACGTCACGGGTTACCAGCCGGGGCGAGTGGGAACGACGCGATCCTGGTCGTCGTTGATCTTTGACGAAGATGGCGCATTTTGCAACATGCAAAAAATCCATCTCAGCTGAAGAAACAGCTCGGCACTTTATCGCCACCGTCGTTCGACTACACGGGATACCAAGATCCTATCATTTGCGATAGGGACTCGAAATGCAACAGCAATTTCTGGCGGAACCTGTGGCAGCAGTTCGGCACACGACTAGAGTATATTTTTTTCGTACCACCCTGAGACCGACGGACAGACAGAACAGACAAATCAGACCATGGAGCAGCTAATTTGGGCCACGTGCGACAACCCAGGCAAGTGGGAACAAAAACTGCCACTGATCGAGTTCACATATAACAACTCGCCATCGGCCAGCACCCAACAGTCACCGTTTCACATGTATTACGGACAATATTATACAGTACCCATGCCCTTGGATCCCTACGATAGTGTAATGAAATTCCTATTTCCTTATGGCGCATCCCTGCTTAGCGTGTACATTATGTACTCGCCACACTTGCCACCATTACCCCTCGCAACATTCGCCTCGACTATTTCCCGCCACCTCGCCCGTCGCACCCCAACCTCGCAGCTCAGCTGGTGACCCGCAGTTCGGGCCTACGCTTCGACACATCCCGGCCTCAGTCCCAGGCCGTCGCGCATCACCCACAGTTCGTTACCGTTACCCACCGTGGGGTTCGCTATTCAGGTCTCGCTCATTCCTTCGCTCATGGTACCGTTTTGCTTCGATGGTGCAATTCTCGCTTGCTCACTCAATTGCACTCGTAACATATAGTAGCATATTACACCATGACAAAGTGTCTAGTTGTTTGTATAAACTAGGACACACCAAAACCCTTAATTCACCGGGATTAATGTAATGCATACGGGTTTAGCTGTGCGCAATAAGCAGCAAAAGTATATGATAGTTCAAGTGTCTTGCAATACTGGATAGGCTGTATTCTTTTTTGCAACTCACTCTCAGATCTCACACTGCAACCTTGTAACGGGGCGCTTCTTCACGTCTCGTTCGCGCTCAATGCCCATCTAGACCTGCCGAAAAAAGGTTGTTACCGCCGAAAAACGCGAACTATCTAATTAAGCCGCATCAAAACGAAGTAGAAGTGCGCGCCCTTGGGGTGGCCACGTACACTTCGATCAAAGACTAAGCTGTGCTGTCAATGCGCCCCTCACGTCGACTGTGAGATAAAGTCTGCGGCTTGGACGGTGCTGCGCAACCGGCGCGACCATCCCATCCCATCCCATCCCGTTCGACAATCCCATCCCCCCACCCCTTCTCTTACTCCCGTCAACAACCAGCTTTCTCTTTGTGGTACTTTCGCCATTCCTTGTTTGCAGTTCACATTCGGTAAATTACTAGCCTCTGCCTGAGCTTCCTACGCGACTGGGTCCCTATGCTATTCATCTGGTACTTTAAGTGAGACTACGGCATATTAGTTTAGTTCATTCGGCGCCAGCTATCCCTACGGCCAAGCAACCAATTCTCTGCCCATTCAGGAGTTATTCAATGCAGCCCGTGCCAAGTCCCTTTGTAGCTGCGGTTCTTCCTAGGAGAGCCGGTGAAGTTACCGCAAACCCGGCTGTGGGTACCTTTGGCTCACCGGAAGCCATCGCGATGCACAGCAATGGGCTAGCACAAGGAGAGTCCGAGGACGACGTGTTTGCTGAAGGTACGTCACACTCCTCGTAGCCTTTCGTACGAACAAATGACATGCGCACTGTCTGGTCAAGCCCTTTAATCTACATATGTACTTATTGCTATTTCTGTTTATTTTACAACCCTATTACACAGGCTCGAAATTCGTGTCGCTGAACAATGTGTCATGGACGGGTGGTACTACGCGCCAGAGCCGTGCGAGGAAAACTAAAGAACTGCGGAAGGGGAAACGTTCTCCACCCGTGCGCACGGGCAAGAAAAGCCGCGCTGATGCACTTGCTGATGGCGGTTGTGGAGCAGACAAAGACACTCAAGACAATGGACAACATGCACATGACGAAACCCTGTCAGCTGCTGCCGCCTCTATCAATCCCTCCTCCGCCTATGCCAACGCGGCGACTCATCAGCTCGCCGCCTCTCAGTCAATCCCTGGCCTGCCCTCCGCCTCTGCCTCCCTGTCAGCTGCTGCCGCCTCTATCAATCCCTCCTCCGCCTATGCCAACGCGGCGACTCATCAGCTCGCCGCCTCTCAGTCAATCCCTGGCCTGCCCTCCGCCTCTGCCTCCCTGTCAGCTGCTGCCGCCTCTATCAATCCCTCCTCCGCCTATGCCAACGCGGCGACTCATCAGCTCGCCGCCTCTCAGTCAATCCCTGGCCTGCCCTCCGCCTCTGCCTCCCTGTCAGCTGCTGCCGCCTCTATCAATCCCTCCTCCGCCTATGCCAACGCGGCGACTCATCAGCTCGCCGCCTCTCAGTCAATCCCTGGCCTGCCCTCCGCCTCTGCCTCCCTGTCAGCTGCTGCCGCCTCTATCAATCCCTCCTCCGCCTATGCCAACGCGGCGACTCATCAGCTCGCCGCCTCTCAGTCAATCCCTGGCCTGCCCTCCGCCTCTGCCTCCCTGTCAGCTGCTGCCGCCTCTATCAATCCCTCCTCCGCCTATGCCAACGCGGCGACTCATCAGCTCGCCGCCTCTCAGTCAATCCCTGGCCTGCCCTCCGCCTCTGCCTCCCTTTCAGCTGCTGCCGCCTCTATCAATCCCTCCTCCGCCTATGCCAACGCGGCGACTCATCAGCTCGCCGCCTCTCAGTCAATCCCTGGCCTGCCCTCCGCCTCTGCCTCCCTTTCAGCTGCTGCCGCCTCTATCAATCCCTCCTCCGCCTATGCCAACGCGGCGACTCATCAGCTCGCCGCCTCTCAGTCAATGCCTGGCCTGCCCTCCGCCTCTGCCTCCCTTTCAGCTGCTGCCGCCTCTATCAATCCCTCCTCCGCCTATGCCAACGCGGCGACTCATCAGCTCGCCGCCTCTCAGTCAATGCCTGGCCTGCCCTCCGCCTCTGCCTCCCTTTCAGCTGCTGCCGCCTCTATCAATCCCTCCTCCGCCTATGCCAACGCGGCGACTCATCAGCTCGCCGCCTCTCAGTCAATCCCTGGCCTGCCCTCCGCCTCTGCCTCCCTTTCAGCTGCTGCCGCCTCTATCAATCCCTCCTCCGCCTATCTCAACGCGGCGACTCATCAGCTCGCTGCTCGGATCTCTCCCTCTGCTGCCGATGTGCACGTCTCTGTTCCTGCACTGTCCAGTCCCGCCGTTGCACCTGGATGGACCTCCCTGCCACCTGCTCCCAGTGCTCTCTCACCCTCGACCTCCTATATCAATCCTGAGTTCCACCCAACCAACTCAGGTCAGCCTGGCTCCGGCCTCATCCCACCAGCCTCCGCAACCCCTGCTGCTGTAGTGGCGCCCCCTGCTACACAATTGCAGCCGTCCGGACTCCCATGGACACTTCGTGTGCGCAAACAGAAGTCCGCTCTCCCAGACCCTGGACCATCACATGTGGAGGCTGGGTCGGATGAAGACTCCGACGATGATGACTCTTTGGAGAATCAAGTTGAGCATGGTGGTGAACAGCGGCCTGCTGCAACCAGGACTTCGCGAGCCGCTTTTGAGGCCGCGCAAGCTCAACTCCGACAACAGGCGCGACGCATAGCTGAGCTAGAGAATCAGCTACATCAGCCAAAAGGCCCTCATGCTGGCAGTCACGCCATGGTTCAGCGCCAGGCTAATTTGCCCAGCCCTTCCCAACAGTTGCCGGTTGCACCCCAGCCTGCTCCTTCAACCACTCGACCTTGCACCCAGCCGAATGCAACACACCCCCTGATTTTCTCACCAGTGGTGTGGCCACGAACGCAGGCCGCTTTTAGCCGTGCTGTGGCAAAGGCCCACATCAAGCGGCAGGCCATCGACTGCTCTGCAATGTCGCCACGGCAATGCGGGTGGTACAATAACGTCATCACGGCGTTGGATGCTTTTCCAGATGTGAACGATGACCTTAAGGTGAGCAGTAACCATTCGTTTGAACGTTCGTCGCGCTTTCGAATGTCATTGGCATAGAATCTCAAATATGGCCGCGGTAGTTATGTAGCATTGGGTACCTATATCCCCCACCCCGCAGACTCCTCATGCCACATGCATTCACGCCCTCCCTTCCCTCCCCTGTTCTCTCTCCCACTCTTCCGCTTTGTGCACTATTTTTGTTGCCCTACTACAGGACCACGTGGATGAGGCTCTTGATATCATGTTTTTTGACACCCCAGTCACTGATTTTTCAATGTGGCCTAGTACCGAACGCCTAGAGGCAGCCTTGCGCAGGGCCCTAGGCCTCACAGAGCCAGAGGAGCATTTCATCGTGCGTATTGTTCTGAAAGCGGACAAATACAGGAACAGCTACATCCGCGATTTGATTCAAGCGTTTCGCAACGATGCCTTGACGGATGGGCGCAATTGGGTGTACGATGCCTTCGACTTGCACGTGCCAAGACCGAGGCTTGGTGGGAAGAGAGTAGGCACCCTCACGACCGTGCTGTTCTTGGACCAGTATGCTGAAAGTGAGTATGAATTTACACTCCTATCAGACCCCCGCCCCTACCCCACCAAAGTCACAGCCCGACCCTAAACCCTTAACCGTCTTTCCCTCCCTGTTTTCCCCTCCCCACCCCAGCAGCAAGCAAAACCAGCAAGGTGACAGCCCAACAGTCACCAGTGCACCCTTGTTCCCCCCTGTTTTCCCCTCCCCACCCCAGCAGCAAGCAAAACCAGCAAGGTGACAGCCCAACAGTCACCAGTGCACCCTTGTTCCCCCCTGTTTTCCCCTCCCCACCCCAGCAGCAAGCAAAACCAGCAAGGTGACAGCCCAACAGTCACCAGTGCACCCTTGTTCCCCCCTGTTTTCCCCTCCCCACCCCAGCAGCAAGCAAAACCAGCAAGGTGACAGCCCAACAGTCACCAGTGCACCCTTGTTCCCCCCTGTTTTCCCCTCCCCACCCCAGCAGCAAGCAAAACCAGCAAGGTGACAGCCCAACAGTCACCAGTGCACCCTTGTTCCCCCCTGCTTTCCCCTCCCCACCCCAGCAGCAAGCAAAACCAGCAAGGTGACAGCCCAACAGTCACCAGTGCACCCTTGTTCCCCCCTGTTTTCCCCTCCCCACCCCAGCAGCAAGCAAAACCAGCAAGGTGACAGCCCAACAGTCACCAGTGCACCCTTGTTCTCCCCTGTTTTCCCCTCCCCACCCCAGCAGCAAGCAAAACCAGCAAGGTGACAGCCCAACAGTCACCAATGCACCCTTGTTCCCCCCTGTTTTCCCCTCCCCACCCCAGCAGCAAGCAAAACCAGCAAGGTGACAGCCCAACAGTCACCAGTGCACCCTTGTTCCCCCCTGCTTTCCCCTCCCCACCCCAGCAGCAAGCAAAACCAGCAAGGTGACAGCCCAACAGTCACCAGTGCACCCTTGTTCCCCCCTGCTTTCCCCTCCCCACCCCAGCAGCAAGCAAAACCAGCAAGGTGACAGCCCAACAGTCACCAGTGCACCCTTGTTCCCCCCTGTTTTCCCCTCCCCACCCCAGCAGCAAGCAAAACCAGCAAGGTGACAGCCCAACAGTCACCAGTGCACCCTTGTTCCCCCCTGTTTTCCCCTCCCCACCCCAGCAGCAAGCAAAACCAGCAAGGTGACAGCCCAACAGTCACCAGTGCACCCTTGTTCCCCCCTGTTTTCCCCTCCCCACCCCAGCAGCAAGCAAAACCAGCAAGGTGACAGCCCAACAGTCACCAGTGCACCCTTGTTCCCCCCTGCTTTCCCCTCCCCACCCCAGCAGCAAGCAAAACCAGCAAGGTGACAGCCCAACAGTCACCAGTGCACCCTTGTTCCCCCCTGTTTTCCCCTCCCCACCCCAGCAGCAAGCAAAACCAGCAAGGTGACAGCCCAACAGTCACCAGTGCACCCTTGTTCCCCCCTGTTTTCCCCTCCCCACCCCAGCAGCAAGCAAAACCAGCAAGGTGACAGCCCAACAGTCACCAATGCACCCTTGTTCCCCCCTGTTTTCCCCTCCCCACCCCAGCAGCAAGCAAAACCAGCAAGGTGACAGCCCAACAGTCACCAGTGCACCCTTGTTCCCCCCTGTTTTCCCCTCCCCACCCCAGCGGCAAGCAAAACCAGCAAGGTGACAGCCCAACAGTCACCAGTGCACCCTTGTTCCCCCCTGTTTTCCCCTCCCCACCCCAGCAGCAAGCAAAACCAGCAAGGTGACAGCCCAACAGTCACCAGTGCACCCTTGTTCCCCCCTGTTTTCTCCTCCCCACCCCAGCAGCAAGCAAAACCAGCAGGGTGATAGCCTTGCCTGACTAATGATTCACATTTCAATTGTTTCACAAAGTATCGTATCTTTCCCCCACAACACGACAGGCGCTGCATCGTACGACATGCTTACTTGGCACATGAATGAGCACCGTGTGCCGTTTGCAACACCTCGCTTCATCAATGCAATTACCGTCTCATTCAAGCGCCCCCAAGGTCGCCGGCTTATTCTCCCGCTGAAGTTACTAGCATTCTGGCTGAATGGGGTGAGTGTAGTTTGCTGCATCTGTTACACGATTCTAAGGATTTTCTAGTGCAGAAATTAATCATGGTGTTCCCTACAAACTCAGGTGGAGCACCGCGTCATCCACGGCAGTGATTTGCCGAGAAGCACCAACGACAACATTCGCGATGTGAACATTTATTACAACAAGATTTGGAACTGGACAAGAGCTGCAATTGGAGCAGCAACGGCGGCAAATGGTCCCTGGTGGCGGCCGTCTGTTGGGGCATGGTCGTTCGCGTGCAGTGATGTTGTTTTTATTAGTGGTGAGGGTCTCGAGAGCTTTGTAGCTAATGCTCACACATATTAGTTTTGGTGTTTTGTAAATGAAGCACTATTTTCTGTAGGTTTCCCTGCTACAGGTATAATTTTATTTAATAAATGTGCTTTTATAAAATAAATTGAAATTCAGTAGCGGCTCACTAGATTAAATAATATTATTGATTAATTATATTGCCAAATTAACAAATCGATTTGTAACGAATTAACTAACGGAGTGAATTATAGGGAGATCTTTGCAGGAGCATATCAATTGTATTACCCGCTCGATTACAGAACTTTGTATTAGTCACAAACTGAATTCCACAAAACAATGAAATATAAATCAAATTTTTAAATTCAGCGTCAGCACTAGATTTCGAAACTATCGTAAAGGGAACGGGTTGGATTAGCGATTGGCAGTCCAACAATGGTGGAGGACAACAAAGCCAATCTAGAGCTAGTGGTGCCTTCCTCAATCGAGGGACACCCAACCGTGCTACTGCCGAACCAATACTAACTGCTCCGTGGTTGGCTCCTCGAAGTCGGGAATGTGTTGAGAGCGCTCTGCTCACACACAGCTCGAAAAGCATAGTGCCCACCAACATCAGCCATACTTTCCGAAGCATTACGAGGAAGTAAGATTTCAAGTAACACCAGAGCAGAATTTCCGCACGGCATTTTTTCGGATGTGCAGGCCACTTCCGCCCGTCACAGGGAGTTATTGAAGCACAGACTTCTTCGTGCATGAAAGAATCCGTCCTGGCTCAACTGACGCCACAGACTCAGCTTAGCGAGTTAAAACCAGAGCCTAGGATCAAACTGTCGGGCTCGGAGCAAGGATTCCGTAGCACTTGAGATCACTGAAAACGCCCAAGAATGGGGAGAGCACTACTTGTTTATATATGGCTGGGTACAAGCTACGAATTGAAGATGAACTCTCTGGTTTTGCTCTCTGGTTTTATAACTAAATCATGCAAGCAAATTTGTAACATCGAACCGCGCGCGACTCGCTAGAAATTCGGACTCAGAATTGCGTCCAATTTCCGCGACGTCCGCGTTCACAATTTCGGACTTTGCCGGGTTCATTTCAACACGCCAAATGCGTGTGTTACACGAAACAATAGCGAGTGTAGCGAAGTGTTCAACACATTCGCTTGAACTCTCGCTATTTTTGTTTGTGCTTGTGGGGCTGCCAAGTGTAGCCCCCACAAAGTTTCGGACCCAACCGGGGTTGAACTCGGTTGAGTGGCGACGCGGGCAATCCGCCGTCGCCCAAACTTCCGAGAACGAACCCTCCCTTGGTCCGAGTCAAGGGAGGTCTTCGCGTGGGGGGCAATCCCGTCCCCCACACTTCCAACACTCCCCCTTGCACCCCACGCACACCTAAGCATGCAAGCCTACCCTAGCACAACATGCATGAAGAGCATCTCTAGGCAATGGCTTGGTAAGGAAGTCCGCGGGTTGGGAGTTGGTCTTGATGTAACGAAGCTCGACTTCGTTGTCTTCAACGAGCTTGCGAATGAAGTGGTGGCGGATTTGAATATGCTTGGTCCTTCCGTGAAGGACCGAGTTCTTGGCTAGGCCAATGGCGGCTTGGTTGTCCACGTAGATGGGAGTGGGGCCTTCTTGTTTGTGCCCAAGCTCGGCAAGAAGACGCCTTAGCCAAACCGCTTCCGTGCCACCAGGAGTGAGCGCCACATATTCCGCTTCGGTGGAGCTCAGTGCAATCAAGTTTGGGCGCTTGCTTTGCCAACTTATTGCACCTCCCACGAGGGTGAAGATATAGCCCGAGGTGCTTTGGCGGGTTGAAGGATCTCCCGCCCAATCCGCATCCGTGTAGCCTTGAAGCACCACGGGTCCCTTCTCGTAGTGCAACCCCATACGAGTGGTCCCCTTGATGTAGCGAAGGAGACGTCGTGACGCTCGCACATGCTCGACCATGGGGTTGGAGACGACACGCCCAAGCACTCCAACGGGAAAGGAGAGGTCGGGTCGCGTGCTCACCGCGGCATACATGCACGACCCAACGACCGAGTGGAAGGTCTTGGCGCTCTCGGGATCCATGGGGTTCTCGTCGTTCACGGTCAAGCGATGAAACCCCGCTTCCATGGGTGTCGGTGTAGGCTTGCTCTCGATCATGCCAAAACGATCCACCACGCTCTCCAAGTACTTGTGTTGGTGGAGGGCGAGGGTCTTGTTCCCTCGATCACGATCGATGTGCATTCCTAGGTAGTGGGAGACGGCGCCGAGGTCACGCATGGAGAATTCGGCGGCAAGCTTCGTCTTCACGTCCGCTACAAGGGTCTTAGAGTCCGACACGAGGAGAAGGTCGTCGACGTAGCGGAGAAGAACGAGCTTCTTCTCGTCCTTGTTGAGCACGTAGAGCGCGTGGTCACACTCGCTCCGCACGAACCCCAACGAGAGTAGGTGTTCGTCAATCCTCGTGTACCACGCACGAGGGCTTTGCTTGAGGCCGTAGATGGTTCTCTTGAGCTTGCACACGCGGTCGGAGTCGTCGTCGAACCCGGGAGGTTGCTTCATGTACACCTCCTCCTTGAGACGACCGTAGAGAAACGCCGTCTTCACGTCGAGTTGTTCCACCTCCAAGTCGAGTGCTCCCGCCAACGCCAAGAGGGTGCGCAACATAGCGGACTTAGCGACGGGAGCGAACGTCTCGTTGTAGTGAAGACCCTCTTTTTGAGTATAACCTTGCGCCACCAACCGCGCCTTGTACCGCTCCACTTCTCCGTTGGGGCCGAGCTTCTTCTTGAAGACCCAACGAGAGCCAACGAGGTAGGCGCCGGGAGGCATGGGGACAAGCTCGTAGACGTCGTTCGCCATGAGTGAATCATACTCTTCTTGAAGCGCACGTTCCCATTCCGCCGCTTCCGCCGAGCTCATGGCGCCGTGGTAGGTGGACGGGGTGTCGGTGTACGCCTCAAGACACATAGCGTCTCCCCCTCCCTCATCGTCCCCCGCCACGAGAGAGTAGTCATCGAACTTGGAGTTGGGATGAGGGTTCCTTCGAGTGCGAGTGGATGCGAGGGTGGGAGTGATAGTAGGAGGAGGAGACGAAGGGTCACGTTCCTTGGCATTTCCGTCATCTCCACTCACTCCAACCACACCCGATCCATGCTCCCCCTCACTCGCACTAGGAGGAGGAGCCGTAGGAGCTACATCCGCCTCATCCACGGCATCCAAGGGTGGAGGGACGATGATGACCGAGGGCACGTTCGTAGACTTGGAGGGGAAGGTGTCTTCGTAGAACACCACGTCGCGCGACACCACGAGTTTCCCGTGCTCCAAGTCCCACACGCGCCACCCCTTGTGATCCGCGCTTGGACCCAAGTACATCGCCACCCGCGCCTTCGCCTCAAGCTTGGTCCGTGTAGCATCCGGGACATGGTAGTAGCACGTACACCCAAACGTGCGAAGGTCGGTGACGTCCGGCTTCGTACCGCTCCAAGCCTCAAGAGGCGTCTTGTTGGGCAACGCCTTGGTCACGCACCGGTTGCGAATCCAAGTTGCCAACGTAACCGCCTCTCCCCACCAATGCTTCTCCGCGTGAGCATGGGAGAGGAGACTCCGCGCCGACTCCATGAGCGTGCGATTCAAGCGTTCGGCGGCTCCATTTTGTTGAGGCGTGTACGGCGTAGAAAACTCATGCGCGGTCCCACGCCCTTTCAACCAATCGCCGAGCTCCCGAGCGGTGTATTCGCCACCTCCACGTGATGAGCTTGAGGCCGCCGCGCTCCCGCTCGAGCTCCCGCGGTTGTTGCCGTCGTTGCGCCGCTTGAAATGACCCGTCCCTTTCGCCTTCGCATCGCGGGAGAAGTGTGCCGCGCCAATTGCATCGCCATGCAATTTCGTGCGCCTCGCCTCTTCGTTGATGAGGCGTGCCACCACTTGCTCCTTCTTCCACGTGTCTTGCGTCCCATCCAACATGGTAATCACCGTTGACCATGCTTCGCCGAGGCCCGCGAGGAGCGTCATGATCCAATCGTTGTCCTCCACGCTCGCGTCGAGTTCCACCAAGCGCTCGCCAAGCTCCTCCACGCGGTTGACGTACGCGCGCATTGACTCGCCGTCCCTCATCCGCACCGTGAAGAAGTCGAGGCGCGCTTGAAGCTTGCTATGAAGCGACTTGGAGACGTGCTCTCCTTCGAGTCGCTTCCACGCTTCACGAGTCGCGCCGTCACGGTCGATGCACGGACTCACAATCGGGACGAGTTGGAGGCTTAGCTTGGAGACAAGAAAGGCAAACGCCTTTTTGTCCTTTTGCACCCACGCTTCCTTCTCTGCGGTTGAAGCGTCCAAGGCGGGCTTCGATGCCGACCCATCGAAAAAACCCCACAAATCGCGCTCCATCATATACACCTTGAGCTTGAAACGCCACGAGGAGAAGTGCTCCCCGTTGAAAATCGGCACCGCGCTCAAGTCGACAACGTGCGGCGTTGTCGAGAAGTCCGCCGGGAGGGAAGGGGCCATTGGCGCATTTGTTGTCGACGAATTATCGGAGGAACCCATGGCGTAGCAACGATTGAGCGAGCACTCCTAATCTAGCTCTGATACCATGAAAGAATCCGTCCTGGCTTAACTGACGCCACAGACTCAGCTTAGCGAGTTAAAACCAGAGCCTAGGATCAAACTGTCGGGCTCGGAGCAAGGATTCCGTAGCACTTGAGATCACTGAAAACGCCCAAGAATGGGGAGAGCACTACTTGTTTATATATGGCTGGGTACAAGCTACGAATTGAAGATGAACTCTCTGGTTTTGCTCTCTGGTTTTATAACTAAATCATGCAAGCAAATTTGTAACATCGAACCGCGCGCGACTCGCTAGAAATTCGGACTCAGAATTGCGTCCAATTTCCGCGACGTCCGCGTTCACAATTTCGGACTTTGCCGGGTTCATTTCAACACGCCAAATGCGTGTGTTACACGAAACAATAGCGAGTGTAGCGAAGTGTTCAACACATTCGCTTGAACTCTCGCTATTTTCGTTTGTGCTTGTGGGGCTGCCAAGTGTAGCCCCCACAAAGTTTCGGACCCAACCGGGGTTGAACTCGGTTGAGTGGCGACGCGGGCAATCCGCCGTCGCCCAAACTTCCGAGAACGAACCCTCCCTTGGTCCGAGTCAAGGGAGGTCTTCGCGTGGGGGGCAATCCCGTCCCCCACACTTCCAACAGTGCACCATAACGGTGAACTCTCTAATCAGCTCAAAGCACGGTGATGAAACAGACGAACCACCATTCGGCGAGTCACCTTCTGAGCCCGCGAATCTCTTCCCTCTTCCCTTCTGTCAAGCGCCACTGGCGTCTGTGGCACGTTTGCGACCTCGGAACAGTCTGTGGTCACACACAGACTGAGCGAGCCTTCCGACTTTCCCTTTTCTTCCACTAGGCTTTTTCCCAACGCCTCAACATCAGAGTTCGAGTTCCGAGTTAGCTATCGGCAATCGTGTTTCTCACAGACGACGTGCCTCGTCCCCCGCTGGTCGCCTGTCTTCGCTCCTTCCTCTCATATCGCTTTTGAAGCGCCTTCACATATCGCTTCATGTGTTGGCATCGTAAGCCTCGCCCCTTCCTTTCTCTCCTTTCCCATCCGCCATGCAGACAACGCTTTCCCCTCCCCCCCCGTCCTCCCCACCCCCCCCCTCCCCCGGCATCCGCCATGCAGACAACGCTTTCCCCTCCCCCCCCGTCATCCCCACCCCCTCCCCCCCCCCCGGCATCCGCCATGCAGACAACGCTTTCCCCTCCCCCCCCCCCCCCCCCCCCCCCCCCCCCCCCCCCCCCCCCCCCGGCATCCGCCATGCAGACAACGCTTTCCCCTCCCCCCCCGTCCTCCCCACCGCCCCCCCCCCCCCGGCATCCGCCATGCAGACGACGCTTTGGCCATCCTCGCCGCTTTGAGATGCCCGTTCATTCGTGTGCTCGGTATCGCCACGTCATTCAGCCAAAATGTGACGTGTGAAGCTGCCACACGCAACGCTCGAGGCCTGGTGGGTTCATCGTGCCTCCTCCTCTACAAGAATCCTTCTTTCCCTGGCTAAAGCATTCTGGTGTGTGTTTGTGGAACCTCTCGATTTTCAAGGAAGCTTCTCACTTTTTCTTGCTCTCATCCTACCCACACCTTCATTCCTTCCTGCATCTCTTCACATCATTGTCCCCCCTCATTCCGCCCCCTCATTCCGCCCCCTGATTCCGCCTCCCATCCCCCACTCTCCTCTTCTATATATCCCCCTCCTCGTCGCGCATCTCCCTCCCCTCCTTCCCGCTTCCTCATCCCGCTTCTCCCTCGTTCCCTTTCCTTCTCTCCTCCAGTGCATAGCAGCAGGACACCCAGACACGTCTGTTGTTCAGGGCGCCACGCCACAGCACCGCTTTCAACCGCACCATCCTCTGCAGGGGATCTTCCCTACCTACCGAAACTCCACTTTCTTGTACCCAACTCTCCCTTCTCCCATTGCCCTACGCTAACGGTCTCTTTCCCCCCATGTGCCCTCGTCTTCTTCCCTCCTGCCCTCCCGTGTTCCAGCTCTGCGTTCTAGATTAGTGCACCATCATCACCACCATCACCACCACCATCACCACCACCATTCGATGAGGAGTGCAGGGCGGGGGAGAGCAAGGGGCGGAGCGGAGGGCGTGGGAGTGGATGTGTGAGGAGGTGGCGCGGAGGCCAGGGCAGATCACCGTGGAGCAGCTGGGACCCGTGACTAAGCCTGTGCAAGAATATTCGGTATTCAAGAATTATTCGATATTCGTTCGAATACGTGAATTCGAGAGAATAAGAAATGGCCGTGTATTCGAAAATATCCGCATCACGAGTATTCGTGGATGTAGAATATTCGGCTAACGGATATTCGGGGTATTCGTTACTATTTGGTATTCTACCAATTCCCCCCCCCCCCCCCCTTCCCCACATGCGGCCATCATCTTTGGCAATCTGACTACAGGAGGCCTCATGAGAACCGTGCTCAAAAGCCTATCAAGATAGTTGCTGGAGCAGGATTAGGGAAGGTCTTGGTGCGGGATTGAGTCGTGGTGTTGATAGTATAAGGTGCATTGTATCACCCTGTGTCGAACATGCATTAGCCGTTCGACACTGGCTATACAAAATATATTAATTCTCGACACTTATTCGTATTCGATTCGAAACATTCGTATTCGGTTTTGGGTCAGTATTCGAATCGTATTCGTATTCGGTTCTGGGTCAGTATTCGGTCAAATAAGAAACCACCCACTATTCGGAGAATATACAGGAAAAATATTCGTATTCGTATTCGTTTGTACAGGCTTACCCATGACCAACCTCGCCCAGGCAAGCGTGTTGGTGCCGTGTGCCGTTGTATGTACTATGTACCCATGTTACCTGTGGTCGATTCACAAGGAGGTTGTAACCCAGCCCAGGTGGTGTGGCATGCACGATGTGAGCAGAGCACGCTGATCAGCAAGACCCATGGCACACCACCCAGGTGGTGCAGTGCAGTGCAGTGCAGTGCAGTGCAGTGCAGTGCAGTGCAGTGCAGTTCAGACCCATGGCCAAGCTCGCCCAGGCAAGTGCTTGCATGCAGCAGTCCTGCTTCTTTCTTCTTGTGTCCATGCACCCATATCCTCTCTCCCCTCACCTCCCTCACCACCCTCACCTTCCTAGCTTCTTGTTACTCCTCACCACTCGACTCCCTCTCCTTCTCACACATAGCATATCCCCGACACCAATCAAGCCGTCTGTCATTGTTCCTCCATAGCATCCGAGTCTGCAGTCATCTGCATGTTGGGAGACTTTCGCGAACTCTCGAAACCCATTAGCCGCCTTGCCTCCTCACCCTTTCCTCTCTCATCTCGCGCTGTACTCTCTTTCACCACAAACGGTTGCTCCCACCACACCAGGCCCTCTCCCACCACGCCTCGCTAGCATCAGAACTGGCGGCCGTCTGGGTGGTGGGAGGTTCATTCTTCGCCAGTGGGGATGTGAACGCTGGGGTGGTGAAGGGACGGAGAGGGAAAGGGAATGGCGATGGGATGCCGTCTGGGTGGTGGGGGGCTCCTTCTTCTCCAGTGGGGATGTCAGCGCGGCTGGGCGCACTGGGGGTGACAGGGAAGGGCTTGGGGCGGCGGAAGGAGAAGGGGAGAAGAAGGGGGAAGGGAGAGGAAGGGCAGAGTTCACTCCATGCTCTTGCGACAAGGAGTATGCGTTTGGTTTGGGGAGGGGAAGTGGTAGAGTCTGGTATTGAGTTCACTATTGAGAAACTGGAAAAACAAATCGGAAAAGCGTGTTACTTATTGATAACAATCAGTGAAGGAAACGGCAGCCTGGCCAGTGAGGGAGGTGGGAAGCTTCGCTTCATCTTCGCTTGCTCTCCTGCCAGTCCTCCCCGCCACTACCCCTCTGGGTCCTCTACGGGTGTCTCCTCTTGCCCTTCCTCTTTTCCTACCTCTAACGATGAGGGGCAGATGGGAGTGATGAGGGGGCGACTCAGAGGGGTCACTCATAACGATGTCCGTCTCTAAGTCGCCCCCTCATCACTCCCCGCTGCCCATCTCTGCCTGCCTCCGTTTCTGCCTCTCCAGCAAGCCATGTGTTTGCAGATCCTCAGTAGCTTTCCTCTCTCCAGCTCTCTCCACCCGTCTCTACCTCTCTCCTCCCCTCGCTGCCTCTCTCGGTGCCCTCTACTTTCCTCCCCGTTTGCTCCTCACTGTATGGCCAAACCAAACCCCAACTCTCCAAGACCTCCACCCTGCCTCTGTGGCGCCAGCCAAACTAACACCCCCAACTCTCCAGACCTCCACCCTGCCTCCACCCCTCTCCTCCCTCCCCAATCCGCCCCGCGCTCCCCCCTTCTGCCCCACTCTACCTCCCGTTGGTGCGACAGGGGTTTGCAGGCCTCGAGGGCAGCGGATCAGGTGCTGATGAGTGGAGCCAAGGGGATGTTGGCTGCACCCCTCGACCCTGCCTTCACTCCACTCCTCTCCGCCCCTCTCCACCCCTCGACCATGCCTCCACTCCTCTCCGCCCCTCTCCATCCACCCCTCTCTGCCCCTTGTGCTCCTCTCCATGGCAGGTGTTTGCAAACCCCGCGGCAGCTGACAGACCAGGTGCCGACGACGAGTGGTGCCAACAACCAGAACTTCCCCTTGCTGGGACTCAACGCCATCACACAGGTCACACTCACTGGTGTGTTGCGATTGATTCATGAGAATTGTGCATGTAACCATGCCATGCGCATTGCAGTCAACGATGTGTCACTGAGTTGCAAGTTGCAACCAGTAACACGATGCGCTAGCTACCATGGTAGCTGCCTTGTGCAACCAGTAAGGGGCCAGGCCGGTTCGGTGTGGTACGGCCAAGATATCAGGTGCTGCCGACACAACGTCCACGCGCTGAACACTACCACTCACATTGCATCGAGGTGCCTTTTAAGTTGACTCAAAAGTCACCTCTGTAACGCCAACGTCCACACACCAACATCCACACGCCAACGTCCACACGCCAACGCCCACACGCCAACGCCCACACGCCAACGCCCACACGCCAACGTCCACGCGCTGAACGCTACCACTCACATTGCACTCGAACTCTCCCGAAAAAGGGCTTCGACTTTCACCAGTCCCCTTAAAAGCCGCCTCAAGAGCGCTTCGGAACTGCTGACCACCGCCAGCTCTCACATTGCCCCTTCCTCATGTCCCTATCCCATGTGTTGTGTCATCATCCCATGTTCCGTGCCATCATCCCATGTGCAGTGCCAGTATCCCATGTGCTGTGTCATCATCCCATGTGCAGTGCCAGTATCCCATGTGCTGTGTCATCATCCCATGCGCCCAGCTGTCATCCCATCCGCCCTTACCTTCCCACGGTATTGAGTCACCTCATCGTAACCATTATGATATGACCACCATCAGCCACCATGAAACATCTTCGCACCCATCCATGTGTCTTCGCTTCCGTCCCGTTCCTGCTCCACTCCCCCGTTCCTGCTCCACTCCCCCGTTCCTGCTCCACTCCCCCGTTCCTGCTCCACTCCCCCGTTCCTGCTCCACTCCCCCGTTCCTGCTCCACTCCCCCTTTCCTTCTCTTCCCCACTAATCAGCACCATCATCAACATCAACCGTGATGAGTCCGGCTTCCTTAGCCAATCATGTTCCACGAATCCACGCCACCTGTCAGGCAGCCGATTGGCTCATCACCAGTGGGAGCGGGCAAGACTTGCATCCAGTCACAACGATTGACGAGCTCATGGTAAGGTGACTGACCACCTTTGCCACATGGTCAGGAGGTGACTTTTGAGTCGACTCAAAAAGTCACTTGCATCCAGTCGCAACAACGATTGACGAGCTCATGGTAAGGTGACTGACCACCTTTGCCACATGGTCAAGAGGTGACTTTTGAGTCGACTCAAAAAGTCACTTGCATCCAGTCGCAACAACGATTGACGAGCTCATGGTAAGGTGACTGACCACCTTTGCCACATGGTCAGGAGGTGACTTTTGAGTCGACTCAAAAAGTCACTTGCATCCAGTCACAACAACGATTGACGAGCTCATGGTAAGGTGTCTGACGATTTTTTTCCACATGGTCAGCAGAAGAGTCTGGCCCTGCTTATGTAGAACTGTCTCAAGAGGATGGTTTCTCAGGGGTTTGGTTTGGGCTGAGCAGAGCAACACAGGACAGGGAAAAGGAAAGGAGGACAGGGCAGAGAAGTGTAGATCAGGACAAGACATATGGATGCCATTGTGGCTTCTGATTCCTCGATGCAGTCTTCCATATTTTATGCAGATCATGCGACAATCATCGTGCTCCCTGCAAACGCCTTTTCACTTGTTTAGCTCGCAACATGTTACCTTGAGCAAGTTTTAGCCTATCTCTTGACCACTCAGCATTGCCTCTCCAAATCCCCACACACCACGTCCGCATTCCCTCTCATGCCCCCTTTCGCCTTACAACCCACTGCTGACCAACAGTAGGTGGACACAGCAGCACCTGACGCCAGCATTCGATACATGATGGACCAGAAGCCCCATTTGAGGCACGTCGGTATATGCATTCTTCTTCTCCCGCTGCCTTGCTGTCATGCGGCCTCTGCATCCGCCTTTCCTCTCAGGCCCCCTTCCCTTGACCGCCCACTGCAGTGACAAACTGCAGTTGGATACAGCATCGCAGCACAAGGCGACAGCATGCGATGCGTGATGGACCAGCAGCCTCATTTGAGGACGTTGGATGCCTTGTTGCCTTGATGCCTTGCTGCCTTGCTGCCTTGATGCCTGGCCGCGTTGCTGTCACACACCAGCCACACTATTGCAGCGTTTCACCCTTTCACTCTCATGCCACCTCCTGGTATGATTTGATTTGATTTGACGGCGAGGCTTGGGTTTGCAGCCTGTGTGGCCTGGCAGGGTGTGAGCTGCTGGTGAGGGCAGCACCATGGCAGCATGTGCACCAGGCAGTGCACCAGGCAGTGCACCAGGCAGTGCAGCCACACAGCTTCCTGCTCCGCTCGTGCAACAACTTACACATTCAATCATTGTCGAGGAGAAAGTTTTGAGCATGCTTTCTCCTCGTAACCTGATCAACAATTTTAGTGAGGTGGTTACTCAGCATGTACAAGTTTGGTTGTATAGATGAATGTGTGTGATTGGGTGGGCCTTTCTGCCCGGCACGCTGGAAATTGGATCCAGCGCGGAACCAGTATAGCCTCTTAGCAAGCACAAATGGGCGTAGTACAATTACCGTAATCACCCGGACAAAACACCCCCCCGTAATAGTACACCCCCGGGTAGCTTGTGCGGGGGGGGTGCTATAGCCGACCTCGTTTGTACTATACCCCCCCTTTTGGGGTGATTCTCTATAACACCCCCCTTTTCTTACGAAACCCTATTATAGCTGTTATCGAGTCAGATTTTTTACGGGAGGATATGACGAAAATCGCTACTTGAATGAAATTTCGCGTGCACTTTCACTTCGAATCTACCGAGATTCCCTCCCTTCCACAATCTCGCTGTCGCCACGCTGGCGAATCTTCCGCTGCACGTGGCCCGAGAGGTGAAACTCACATTCTCGCCAAAACTCGAATTCTCGCCTCAACCTGTGATGTTATAACGACTATTGAAACACCCAAATTGTCTAATTAATTTTTTTCTTACACTAAAAAGTGCCATATATAACCACCCGGGTATTATATAGGATTTTCCGTTGAGAGGACCCCCCCCCCCCCTTTTTTCCCTGTGGTTATCATAATACCCCCGGGTGTTATGTCCGGGTGATTACGGTAACTGATTCATAGGGTGTGACTACACTGGCTATTTAAAAAAGATTCGACTAAAATCATGAATAGCAAATGTCAACACATGGATATGTACAAATGAAGGAAACAAGGTGGAATAATCAAAATGTAATCCTCAGGTTTCCAAGTGTCTGAGCACACACACACACACACACCAGCCCATGCAGGGTTGCTGGCTTCTTCCAATGTAGCAACCTTGGTCTCTCCTCAGTCTGATCCTTCACACGCAAACCAGAAATCAACTTCAGTTACACACCCCGAGGGAAATGTGGGTCTGCTTTCCACGTTCTTGAAGCAGCACCATACGAACCCTCTTTTGATCACCGCCTCCTGGATCAACCACTGCTCTGCCATCTCCTCCATGCACCCCTACTTCCAACCCCTATCTGCCATTCTGCCTGCTGCCATGCCAAGTGGCCACATCGGCTGCTCTTGCTCCGCAAAATCATGCGCCACTGCTCCACACAGTTGCCATTCCACAAAGGTGTTCTTCCATTCGAAAGCAGTGCACCCTTGCAGGAAACTACAATCTCTGTACCACTATTCTTGATCATCTCTCCCTCCCTCCCCTCTCTTTCCTCCAACCCGTAAGTGTCAGCAGCTAAGACCAACAAACTGAGCACAGGAAGCGTGAGAGAACCCCATCCCATGCCACCTGTTCTGCACCATCTGATCCCATGCCTCTGTAACACCTGCCGTTTTCATGCCTCACGCACGCGTCACATCAGCCATTCCCTTGCCTCTTCCGCACCTGCCACATTCCTCTTGTACCACGTCTGCCATTCCGCACAATGCTTGGACCAGCAATGATGATGAAATCTGCAAGATATAATGGGCTGGGTAACGGGGAGAGATGAAAAGAGAGAGAGCAAGATGTGTGACACACCAAAGTATCACACATGGCGGCAACGCATCACACATGACAGCAATGCATCAAACATGGCAGCAATGCACCACACATGGCAGCAATGCACCACACATGGCAGCAATGCACCACACATGGCAGCAATGCATCACACATGGCAGCAATGCATCACACATGGCAGCAATGCATCACACATGGCAGCAATGCATCACACATGGCAGCAATGCATCGCTCGCACATGGCAGCAATGCACCACACAAGGCAGCCACACATCACACTCCACACCAGCGCATCCAAACCTGCCAAAAAACAATAAATCGGCCAATACGCACTGCATCAACTCACCCTGCCCCACGCCATTCCAGCAATCCTCACTGCAGGCACCCCCATCAAGACTCACCAGATCTCCAAGCAAGATTTGACAGCCCTCCAGCTCACTCGCCCGGTCCAATCCTTCCTCTCCTCAGCGATCTCCCGTCGATGCATCCACTCTCCAGACACACAAGATTGGAGATCTCGTCTGTGTCATCCTCAAAAAACGGGCACGCCAGAATCCTGAGGCTCGTGAGGTGGTACACCACCGAACGGGATCTAGGCAAGGATCGCAGGGCGGGCCAGGAACATAGAGTCAGCTGCTGCAGGCGTTCAAGTTTGTACACCTCATCGGGGAGTGTAGTCAGGCAGGGAAGGCCAGACAGGCGGAGGGCTAAAAGGTTTTCAAGCCTGCAGACGGACGCCATGAAGGCATCAACGAAACGTGTCCTGCTCCCTGCATCCCCAGACGGGCAGCTGGCTGGCCATCCAAACTCAAGGGAGGTCAGGCTCGTCTTCCAGCTCGGAAGCAAGGATGGCGGAATTCTACTGACACAGTCGCAGTACTTGAAGGAAAATGTTTGAAGTTTGGAGAGGCTGGAGAGGGAAGTCGGAAGGCGAGTGAGGCTGCTGAGTTGGCACAGCTCCAAATGCTCCAGAGATGAGAGGCGACCGATGCTCTCTGGAAGATCCCTGAACGCAGTGCAGCTTCTAATGACCAAGAGTCGGAGCTTAGTAAGGTTGAGTAGCGGAAGCGAGTTCAGCTTACTGCAACTCCTGATTGTAAGGCTCTCGAGCAGAACGAGATCAGACATGGCGCTTGGGAAACGTTGCACCTCATCTAGCTTGGTTAGCTCGAGAATACGTAGCGAAGTAAGCAGGAAGAAGGAATCCGGGAGTTTGTAGAGTGAGAAGTTGCCAATCAAAGAGCACTCTTGAAGGTTTTGAAGCCGGCCAATGCTGTCAGGAAGATCCTCTAGCTCATCTGCATGAGATATGATGAGTTTGACCAGCGAATCAAGGCCTCCAAAGGACTCGGGCAAGTGGTGAAATTCTCTGCACCGTGAAATTTGCAGCTCAGTCAGCCCAGTGAGAAGGCCAAAAGATTCTGGGAGCTCGGAGAACTGAAGCTCGTCAAACGTCAGCTTCTTCAAGCATGTCAACTTGCCGAATTCATCTGGAAGGCTCGTGAAGTCGACTTGCAAAAAAACCTCCTTCAGAGAAGACAGACCGAAGAAGGATAGAGGAAGATCATGGTCACATGTACCAACTGCCAGCGAGAGATATTGCAATCCAGTGAAAGCAGTGAAGACTGCATCCATACCACTTTCAAACAAAGCAGCGTCATGCGGATTTCTGAGGTCGAGACGAGTCAACTTGGGACATGCAGATCCAAGGCCGCGGAGAAACTCGCACTCGTCATCGATCCAGCATCTGATGATTGTTAAAGACGTCAAATTCGGAAACTTCGACAAGGATCTAAGAAGGTCGGTGTCTGCTAGAATCACGTTAGCAGGAATGTCGTCGTATTCTGGAATCAAGTCAGCCCCACTAGGACGCATGTAGATCGACGTCTGGGAATCATAAGCGAGGCGATGCCATCGCTTGCAGACCAAGGCGTGGTTGAAGCTGCTAGGCGACAGCTGGCTCAACAAGCGGAAGACGATGCAGAGGAGGTCATCCGACAGATGATCGAACAACGACGACCACGCGGAACTACTCAGGGAAGGCGATGCGAGGGTTGATGGCGATTGGTCTGTTTCAAAAAAAGACATGGCTCACACTACGGGGACGCACTCGCGAGCAAGAGCAGAACCTAAGAAGGTGAGAAAGGCGGTATGGCGGAGTGGTGAGGGCTGGAAGGACGAAATCTGTCTACTTGCTGGTTGGCTAATGTTCTTGAACGAGCCTCTCGTGTGAAGAGTCTCAGGCTCACAAACGACGAGATGATCAAGAAACAGGAGGCCCCTGAAACTCGGAAACATGCCCACTTCAGAAGCAGGAGGTCCGCTGAAGCCTGCCTGACCTGGTCTAAGAAACGATTTATCTGTCGTTCCAGGACAGTGATTCAGCAGGGGAACGAAAAACTAAAACCGATGCGGTCGGGAGGCACCCACGCTGAACTTGTCCCAGGATGACGATGGCTTGCATGGGCAATTGGGTGAGAAGCCGAATGCGGTCCATGGTTCAGGGCGAAAAGAAACACATTCATTCTCACATTGACACGATCAAGCTGTTCCACGTCAGCGGCGGCCCAATTCTGACCCATCCCAAGGGAGTGACTGCGTGGCATGGCGATACGGTGAACCCTAGATTCTCGGCCTAAGCTCCAAGTCGCTGCAGCAACCATGGGTAGCGTGGATTCTAGGGTTCCCTCACGAATGGTGCAATGGTGATTCACGGCGAGTTGCGATGAAGCAGGAAAGTTGAGGTCGAGGGTGAATGGAAGGTGATCGAGCTGGAGATTGGTTCATTATGGAGGGTGCGTTACACCAACAAACATTTGC